TTCAACACTTGTAATGGAACCACTCTTTACATGCTGTACAATATACCATTTCATCTCCAGTGTCAGGAAGACGACAAACACAATATATCTTAAATTTGCTACTTTTAGGTTTTTGAGGATGAGGAAGTGCATTGTTGCATGAAAAGGGCTCAATCTTCATCTGTTTCATACAGTTTAAATAATGACTTTGAAGACTCCTCTCATCATATGTAAAACTTGCAGGATCTTTTCCTTGACACAACGTATATGCAAATGCTAAAGCATACAAACCACAGCTAGAACTGTCACATTGTTGTTGAACATCAGGGTACAATACATATATTGTTTTAGATGAACTACTTAGAAGTACTGCAATCGACTCCTGCACAGATGCAACAATTTCTTTTGTCAGGAAGCTATCATACACTTTCACTGAATTTGGTTTACAACCAATGTTAGAGACACAAATCCAATGACACTGTGAAGCATTCAATATCTGCACAAATGGCTCTTCTTCAGATGGAAAAGATAGGGTATTTTCAAGTGTCACATCATAAAGGCCATGCATATTAGGAAATTGGATTCTCAACATTACAATACCAGCATTAATTAGTTTACAGTTTAACCTTTTGCTTTTGTCTTCAAGAATATCTATATCACTCATTGTCAGCTTTTCATTGCCAATAGTAATCAAAGCTGGTTCATCACTTTTAACGACATCAACCTCATCTAAATTGACTATTGATTCACCTGAGCTTCCTTTATTTTCACCATTTACTAGGCTTAATTCTCTTCTCTTTTGTGATTGATAAGCTGGTGTTCCAGTAACAACAATATGGTGTTTCTTTATAGTTGGACTACTTTTATCTGGCGATAAATCCCATGCACGTTTGCTTTTTCTTTCTTTTTGACTTGATGTGTTTCTACACTTTGTTGGCCATGTACTTCCTCTTCCTTTTGGGTGACCTTTTACTTTTACTTTTTGCTTGGTGTTAAGCTTTGTCTTAAGTACAGATATAGTTACTTCATTGCCTGGGGACTGTAAAGAAAATGACAAATAATGGCATAGCTAAACCAATGTTCATTATTGTGTGTATACATACCATATTTGTAGCACACTGGCTATTTCCAATAGGACTCAACACTGGCATAGATACTGCCGTATCACCAATTGACACAGAACATGATACTAAGAAACCATCATCATCATCAGCTTTATGTGAACTAGGTCTGCTCACAGCAGAATCAACAGCATTTGAAAGAACATCCAGATCATTGTTAGGAGCAGTACCAATGACACTTGTACAATGAACAGTTGAAGAAATAGGAGAATCTATATGTCTATTTGTAGGAAAATCATCCTGAGCATCTTCAACTTGAGGAACGCCTATATAATGTAAGTTTATAAATAATGATACTGTGAGCACATTTAAATTACCAGTAGTAGGACCAGTTTCATTTCTCACTCTATTACAACAAGTGTGCCTCACCAATTATTGAGCAGCTTCTACAGTACTCTAAATTACAAAATGGAATGTTAAAAGTAAAATGAAATACTGAAAATGGTACTTACATCTGAATGGTCATTTACTGGTGTAATTAAAACAGGTATACACAATTCCCAGTGTTTAAGAAGCATCTCAATACTTGAATACTTCTCTCTGAATTCTAGCATACCACACTGTAAAGAAACAACAGCTAACTTCTGACACAATGACAACATTTTATGGTACTTCTGATTACGTGAGAGAGTCTTAGTCAACGTAGAGTTTGATGCAACAGTTTTTATCTCAACTTCGCTTTTTTGAGCAAGTGTTGAGTTATCAGTGGTATGCACATCTATATTGGGCTGGTATTCCTTCAACCATCGATTAGCTACCAATGAATTTTCAAACACAGACAATTTCTGATGTTGATGAATATAAAAGATATGATGACATGGCAACAGTAATGCTTTATGAAATGCACAGCTACAAATAGCTCCCATTTCTACACTCAAAATGACAACATAAGATTTCCCATTGGCAGAAAGAAGACTGAATTCGTTACTTTCTTTATTATCACTATCTGTTTGATAACCAACAGTATGAGCTAGTTTTAACTGCTCTATATCATCAGGTTACTAGAATATTGTGTACATGCTGCTCGGATATTTGTAACACCTTCAATACCATCATCTACAGAAGTAACAGATGTAAATTCTTCTCTAAATGAAGATTGCTTCAGTTGCTCTTCACTATTACGAGTAAAGGGAAGCACATTTCTAAACATCTCAGAGATTGTGGAGGTTCAAGAAGTAAGATTTTTAAGCTTCTGATTATGACTTTCAAGGTGATTATTAGTGGTATTCCCAAGATGTGAACACGAGTCCCTTCTGTACGTCACCCACATTTCCTGACAGTCATCCCAACTCTTTATAAAGTACTCTTCAAAATCTTTAGTTGTTTGACTAAAAACCACTACCTTTAATCTTTGATACTCCTCTTCATTTTTTGAATGCACCAAACTTCTGAGCAGCTGTTTGGCAGCTTCACGAGCAGTCTTCTCAATTTCACAATCAAACAACTTTCTTAAACATTGCTTTCATTACATGCCATTGGCAAAACAAAACCTGGGCATTCGGAAATTCTTCTTTAAAATTTTCCATACTGTAAAATCTCTATCTATGATAATAACTTGTAGCAAGGTCCAGTTGGGGTTGTTTTCTTTAAAGCACTGCACCATTTTCTGCAAGTGAAGTGCATCTTCTTCTGTTGTTGCAGCATAGAAGATCATCTGTCAATGACCATACCCATCCTCGACCATTAAACAGTACAAAGGCATTCCTTTACCATTCACGTTATATGTTCCATCTACCAAGAGTATCTCCGGAAACTTTTCATACAGATTTCTCATGTGCCCAGTCTGAAAATACAGCACTGTAATCTTCATTGATTACAACACCTCCTCTTGACAATGAGTCCTGTTCAAAGGCTTCATTAAGTTTCTCGAGTACAAGCTGAGCATCATTCAATCCTTTGTTACTGAGCTCACGTACTTTAGCTTTCATATTCTGAATATCTTTAAGCAAAATAAGTTTACCAAACTTCTCTTCAAGCATTCCTTTTGTAACATGATACATAATAACAACCGTGCTTATTATATTATGCATACACACACTCATTTATTACACACCCACACAATTAATATAAAACATGTGGTGATTATTAGATTATTATGATTGA